TATATAAACGTACTGTTTAAAATAAACATTCATTGTTATATTTTTTACTGTATAAAGAACACAACTTGTCACAGGTGCAACCTCAAAACCATATGTGTTGAAATATAATGTATAGACTGAGTGTCCTTTGTAATAAGAACAGCACAAAAAACAGTAACTAAAATCAGTACAAATCACAACTTTCTATACTGTACTGTGGTAAAGCTATGCCACATTGATTGACTGTATATAAGACAACTGACTATATCATGTCTTTTTTGTTTTTCTTTGTAATAATTCTTCTAGCTTTATGTTCACGCTATGTAGTGCTATGTCAAGGGTAAAAACAGAAGCTTCTTGGCTTCCCCAACAAAAAAGTTCCAAGAAAGAAGATCCCTCAGGGGCAGGATTTGTCAGTTTGAGATGTAAATATTAGTAGAGTGTCCTCATCAATATTGTCAAGTTGTCGGATGCCATATATCTCAGGGCTGTATTCTTTTACTAAAGGATTTCCTCCTAAGGAATTAAATATAACACATGCCCTTTTCTTCCTATGTTCTGTTGCCGAGAGGCGTTGGTGGCGATGTATGTGTGTATCTGTACACAGTATCTGTACACAGTATCTGTTTTAAAGAGAACTACAAGGATCACGAGTCAATTAACTTCTTTCCACAGGACAGTAAAACAACTGAAACAATTTATGATTTAGTTTCCGCGATCAGAGTTTTAAATTCTGAGATACTCTAGATATTATGACATTCTAGCTAATGTTTTGAGCTTGTGAAGCATAGCAACGGTAACTAAGGCGGAGTCGAAAACATTAATTACCTTTCTCTCCCCCCCCCCCCCCCCCCCTCAACTGATAATAATGGTATTAATAAGCCAACAAAAGGGAGCTATGAAAAGGTTTTTGGTAATACATGCTATTAAAAAGTTATAAAGAGAATGAAAATGTTGGCTTTCCATTGRCGGATATATGAAAATACCTCTCTCTTCATRTATAAACCCCTTGCATGTGACGTCAAARCAGCTCTATCTGGGAGACAAAACGAAAAAAGTCCAATCTCCTGAGAGTTGGAACCTATTGTTTTGTCCCCCAGATTGAGCTGCATTACAARGTGCTGCAAGGGGTCTATATGACATTTTTTTTAAAGGGCTA